TAGAGAAGAGCTAGGGCAAAGGAGGAGTAGTAGTGCTTTAGAGAAGAGCTAGGGCAAAGGAGGAGTAGTAGCGCTTTAGAGAAGAGCTAGGGCAAAGGAGGAGTAGTAGCGCTTTAGAGAAGAGCTAGGGCAAAGGAGGAGTAGTATTGCTTTAGAGAAGAGCTAGGGCAAAGGAGGAGTAGTAGTGCTTTAGAGAAGAGCTAGGGCAAAGGAGGGCTAGTAGTGCTTTAGAGAAGAGCTAGGGGAATCAACATTTATTGAGTAAGAGATCAACTCTCCAAATTGGGAATAACAATTTTTCAACTATAAACTCATTTGTCAAGACATGAGTTACATTTTGACCATTTATTTTTACACCAAAACTTCAAAAACAACCATTTTTGCTTAGTATTTTAATAAAAATTTATTACAATCCAACATACCGTATTTGTCTATGTTATATTACAGTTCCCTTGCTATACCTACATCTACCTCATCTACAATGAAAGAGGAGGACTTCAGAGTACTGTTAGTAATGGATGAGTACACTCTGCATGCTTCAAACATTTTAAAATTGAGTTTTATTTCAAGTGTCCCAGATTACCCCATTCCCAGGGATAATCCAGGACAGTTTTATTTCACGTCTGGCACCTTACAAATAGAATATGGAATTTTTTTGAAGATGCCATTCCATAGCCCTTGCAAAGAGCTATAAAATGAACCCAGTCTTGTTTAATATGTTTCATGCTAAGAAGTTATTAACAAAACAAGCTCAAAACCATCGCTTATTACCCCATTTGACGGTAAATTCACTTGACCCAATTAAACTGGTGCAAAATTACAAGCCCAGTCCAGTAAGATTACAGATACAGAAGAAATGCTATATGGCTGCTGATATGAAGCTTGCAGTGGACAAGGTCATTGTCAATGCTCAATAGCATGTCCATGGATATGCTGCTAATATCATATCAATAATACGGTAATGTATGAATATGGTACTATCATATCAATCAATTATAAACAAGTTACAAGTACAAATAACCAAAAATGTAATTTATTCTGCATCTAATTCATCTACAAAGGAAGAGGAGCACTTGCAGGGACTGTTAGTAAGGAATGAGTACACTCTGCATGCTTTAAACATTTTTAAAATAAGTTTTATTTTAAGTGTCCCAAACTATCCCATTCCCTGGGATAATTTGGAAGCTTTTCTTCTGCATCTGGCACCTTACAAATAGCATATGGTATTTATTATTTTTTTTTTTTTGAGATAGGTACCATACAATAGCCCTTGCAAAGATCTTTACAATGAGCCAAAACTTGTTTATGAAATATTTCATAGAAAGAAGTTATTAACAAAAAACTCTCAAAATTGTCCCTATAACCCCGTTTCATGGTATTAAGCATTAGAAACTTCAGTTTTTCAAAATTCTTGATTGTCTTGTTTGTTTAAAACATCATCATTTTTGTCTTTAACCAATAGGATGTTTACTACCATGGTAGGCAATTTTTTTTATTATTTAAAAAAATCCAAAAAAATCAAAAATCAATGATTTTTTTATTTTTTCATTATTTTTTTGATTTACATATTTGATTTTTTTTATTTTTTCAGTTTTTTGTCTTTTTTGAAAGGTTATTTTTTAGGTTGCAATTAGCCTACTAACAATAACAGTATATGGATCATAATAAAAAAAATGGCTTCAATTTTATGGCTAGAATAGTAGAAACTAGAACTGTAATTGGGAGGCGCAATTTAAAGCAATACCAAGACTGGTAGGGTAAACGCGGTTTATTCCGACATCGCAGGTAATTCTGACACTTCTCAACTTTTTCCTTTATATTAAGCTTCGTCTTAGTTCCACGCATTCGTTGATGGTTGAAATAGTGACGTCATACTATTGCACGCCATACTATCGCCAAAACACTAGGTCTGGGCCCGGTGGGCCGTCTGGTGGGAAAATGTTAAGATCCAAAGAGAGACAGTGCACATCACCCAGTGAGAACATCAAAAAACGTGTCAAAGTTATAGTAGACCTTGCTTTACCAAATAGTGATAAACTGTTTGTGTAGAAAGAATACCTATTATGGTTTGAGACTTTTAAAAAAGTCTATGAATATATTACAAATCCTTTAGGTATACTTGTATTTGCTGATTTCAAGTACCGTAAAATGGGGTTACTTTGACCGGCGGGATAACTTTGACCACTTTTCATTTTTTTAACAAAAACCCCCAAAACTCAAAAACGATTTGACATAGAAAAATTTTGTCAATTGCCATCAATGGCCTAATACTGAGGCTACGTAACACAATAGAAAGATTTAAAAAGTTTACATATCCAATAGGTTAAAAAATTAATAATGTGACCCACAAAAAAGAGCTATTATTTAAAGCCTGTTGGAGTACCCCTTCTAATTATTTTATTTTTTGGTAAAATAACTTCAGGTTTTGATGCATTGTAGTAGAACTCTTCTAGTTACATATGCAAGTGACAAATTTTAGGAAAGTGTCGTAGTTTGCAAATGGGGGGCGCCGCCCCCCAATGGGGGAACTTTGACCACCTGATGGCATCATGGCAGCCGTGATGGGGTAACATTGACCGGCTTGGAAATTAAGTTAAAATTACCATAGGTACCTAATACTACCTATATAACATATTTTATGTTTGATACACCTATTAATGTTTTTTTCTTTATGTTTCAGACTCTTACAGAGTCTTATATATGGTAATTTTAACTTAATTTCCAAACCGGTCAATATTACCCCGTCATGGCTGCCATTAGGTGGTCACATTTTGCCCATTGGGGGGGCAGCGCCCCCATTTGCAAACTATGACACTTTCCTAAAATTTGTCTTTTGCATATGTAACTAGAAGCATGGTGGCAAACAAATTTTTTGCCTGACTCATTTTCAGATGCATTCATAAATTCGTAATTTACGTTCACTTTTTGTTATTTTACTACACTTGGCCCGATATGGCATGTATTAAGTATTTTCAAAGTTTGTTATGTTTGAATGTTCTACTTTTGATTTGATTAATGTTTTGTATCACAGGTTCACAATGGTAACCGCAATGGCTTCCAATTGCTGTTGCCACAACGAGATCAAGA